AAATGCCCTTTATGCAGAACTGATGTATTAGCTCAGCCAGATGAAATTTTATGATTTATTTTTTAATCACATTATTAGCACTTTTTTATTTTCATTCTTTTATAAACTTATAAATTCTCATTTTGATATAAATTGAAACAAAAAGAGAAATTGATATTTTATTACATTTAATAATTTTAATCAAAAAAAAATATATATGATAAATAATGTTTATAAAAACAATCCAAGCGTATTTATTTAATTTATAAGAATTATAGTTATATTAAATTAAGTTAGAATGATAAATCTGAATGAGGAATAGAATTTATAATAAAATAAGTTAGTTAATGTATTAAATAAACTTTTATAATTTCATAATTAATGCACTTTAAATAGTTTATATACAACGACTTGCATTTTAATAATATTAGATCTGTACTTTTATATTTATATGATTTGAAAATTAATAAATTTTCCTAATACATAATCATTGTAAAATGAGTTTAGAAAATGTTGCCAAGGATGAATGAACGAATGTTACTGGCCTAAATACACTGAAAAATTTAACATAAATGTTTAATTTAGAAATAACAAATACCATAATGTTATTTTTTAGAAATATTATAGAAATAAATTAGAAATTAATATTTAATAATAATTTGAATAAAAATTCATGTTAAGCTATTTAAAATATTTATTAGAATATAATTAAAAAATTGTGATAGAATTAAAAACTAATTGGAGGGAAATTAGTCTTTAATACCTGTTAACAATGGTAGCAGCTGCTGCAGCGTGTAGTAGTTGAAATTGGATGAAAATAACATTATTTTATTTTTACATAAATCAACACTTAAATAATCATTTTCTTTAATTAACTATATAATTTTGGATTAATTAATTAAATATTATATTACATCTAACTTATGAACTGGGGGTTACAATCTTGGATTAATGTCTAAAATTCTAATCCTTTTTGTACTACTTTGAAAGAAGAGAAAGATTATCATGAAAATCAAAAAAGCTAAGGCAAATCTGTTGATGAAAGCTTTATTAGATAAGAGGAATCACAAATTCTGAAAAATTTATCTCAAATAAATAATCTTATGGAATCTAATAATGTTGTTATTCTTCATTGATATATTTAATTAAATGAATAATTAAAATAATTCAAGTTTCAATGCTAGTTATTCATCAGAAGATTAAAACTTTGATAGAAGAAAACTTTCTAGTCATTCTTAATTAGATTCAGATCTAACTTTTTCTGAAAAAAAATAATTAGCTTTATAAAATGCTGAGACCTAATTTGATGAATAATAAAAAGAATTTTTAGAAGAACTATAAATTCTTTTAACTCCTCATAAATGTCGAAGAATTGCTCAAGTTGATAAAGAATTAGAATAATTGAATGTTTAAATTAATAATTTGAAAATCTTTGATTACACTAATTACGAGAAATCAATCTAAAAAATCAATTAAATCAAAAAAATTATTTCTTAGATAATAGATAAATATTTCAAAAATATGATTTAACAATATTAAGTCATTATAAATGATTTGTTAAAAACATCATTTTAACCTCTTTAAAAATAAATATAAAATCTAAGAAATGAATTATATAAATATGATGAGTCTTCGTGTCAAGAAGTATTTGATAGATATTAATTCCTTAATGATGAATTTAATCTAATGAAGAGTTAATTACCAAAGGATATTTATCTCTAAATTAATAATAAATCTATGTATGACATCAAAGATTCTTTGTAAAAATTGATTTCTTTATAATTTAAAGGTATTTTATAATAATATACCATAGATGAATTTAAAATAATTCCCAATTACTTTAGTGGATTTAAATAATAAAAAAAAAATTTAGTAACTTTAAAAAGTAAAAAAAATTAATTCAAATTATAAGAACTTCAAAATTCTATTTATTCATTTAGAAATAATATACTCTATTCATCATATATTGATGAAATTGATTAAGTGAAAGCACAAATGATAGATCTTTCTCAAAATTAATATCAATTAGTTTATGTTACACTTGTTAATTCAAATTAATATTTATATTTTATAGGTTAACTATTCAGAAATTCTGAAAGTTCCAAATAAATGTTGAGTGAATCTTTTAAGAAATATGATAAAGCAAAAAAATAATTAGAAAAATTATAGGATTTACCTTGTAAGTCTTATGGAGGATAAGCTATAAAAAATGAAAATGCAATATATTATTGGGGAGGATATATATAATCTGAGAATCAGCTTTTAGGTAGTAAAAAAGGATTTTTGTAAAGTTTAGTTTTATTTAAGATAGATATTAAATAGATTATGATAGCTGGGAATAAATTGAATCAATGAAATACCCAAGAATTAAAGGTTAAGTTTGTTCCTAAAATAATAAACTTTTCTTAATTGGTGGAATGATGAATCAATATGCTGCAAATAGCTTAATAGAAATTTATGATACTACTCAAATGAAATTTATTGAAACAATTGAATTGATTAATTAAATGGTATTTAAATGTCTTATAAAATTAGTCTTATATTCCTCAATTGCTTGGATATGCTTTGCCTATATCTAATTAAGAAATTTTAATAATTGGTGGATAGAATCAATTTGGAAACGAATGTGGTGCTCAATTAATAAATATACTCTTAAAAACAGTATAAAAAAATAGTTATAATAATCTTTAAAAGATTTTTAATTTAAATTGCTCTTAGCCAATTGTATACAATATATATTAGATTTAGATCTATAAATAATAGATATTTCTATTTAATTCAGAGGACAAAAAAATTGAATTTATTTAAATCAATGCTGATACTTTGTAAGTAAAAAATATCATACAAATATAATGATATTAAAATTTACAAATTTCATTATTATTAAAAAATTCTTTTTACTTTTCTTACATTTCCCAGAAAAATATCCTTTGGAAATTTTTGTTTTGGTTTCTCTATACTCTGCCTATTGTATTTGGGACCAAAAGAAAACTGCATCATTTCCTTTTGGTTCATATGGTCGGATTTGCTTTAAGATTTTGGATTCTCTAGTGTTAGTTATTAAAGAGGAGTCAAGTTTCTATTTTTCCTAGTATCTTCTGAATAGTCTAAGGATTTCTTTAAATTCTGGATTGAAATTATAGAATCTTAAATATAAGAATTTAGGGCTTTCTATTCTTATTTCAGATTACTTGTTAAAACATTTATTTTTAGTATGAAGAAGCACGCTCTT